TAGAAGATAAATAATAACAAATCACCTAATATATGATACAATATAGTATTTTCTTAATATTCTTAATACCTTAAAGATAAAATATTGAAATTTTATATGTTTTGAGCATATTTTATATTAATTTATTTTTTAAACGACCCGACTCGCTAGCTAACGAGTCGAGTCAGGGCTGACTTGAGCTTGGCTTGTTACTCGTCGAGCTAAGTTCACGGGCCACTTATTTAGCCGAGCTCGAGTCGGCTCTCGATTCGACTAGACTCATACCCTTACACCCTACCACAACTACTTGCAACTCCCTCATTTTTATCATTTTTGTCACATAATTATGATACAAATGCATATAAATGATAATAATTTTGATATATCAAATTTTATCATATGTTATAGAAAATGGTACTAACCAATAGATACAAATAATAATGTAATTTGCAAGGAAAATAAATCTACAAATATCGACAAACAAAATTTATAAAACTAATTCTTTTGAAATGTCTAAAATAATATTTAAAACAGTTATTGTTTTATAACATATTTGTCATGTTTAACACACATGCTAAAATATAGAAAATATTATACTACACAAAATACTTAACAGATATATATCTAGTATGGTTTAATCTAGAAAATATAAAAACTTAAGCAATGAAAAATTTTTAAATCTCTGTAGATCTGAGTTTGTAGGAAATTTCGGTAAATAAAATATCAAAATTTTACAAAAAAAAAACACTTAAATTGAAATCTGAAGTTGGTTAGCTATAATCTATCGAGAGCCGGACAATCTCCCCAATTGGCTGTTGGACTTGTCCGTTTGGGGCAACTTTTAACTACGGTGATATTTTCAAAAAACCGTCTTATTATTGTTTGTTTCTCACATTTAGGGCAAGCTTTTAAATTGTGTTTTCTATTTTCTATTAGACGGGGACGACCAGTATATCCTGGCGATTAGGGCTGTCAAAAAATCTCGTTGTTCGCGAACAGTTCGTGTTCGGTTCGTCAATGAGTTCGTGTTCGATTCGTTCGATAAGTAAACGAGACAAACGCGAACAAATTTTTTTCGTTCGGTTAGTTAAACGAACCAAACACGAACAATGATGCGTTCGTTCGTGTTCGAATCGTTATTGTTTGAAATATAAAATAATATAAAATAATTATATATAAAAAATTTATTATATTTTAAAACATTAAATTTTATAAATTATAATATATAATAAAATAATAATAATAATATATTAAT